TTGTCAATACGCCTTCTTCACCGGCATAAAAACCCCATCATTCCAAGGGTCCTGTCCTAGTGGTAATTCATCACTTTTGGCAAAACCTGTTCTACAAGGCATTTGTTGCAAAGACATGTGCTCATGATGACTACGGCAGCATACCCAGCAGCCACCATGACCGAGCTCCGAGGAGAACCTGCCCATTCAAGTCTATGGTCAAATTATGGAGGCTCTTCACACTTGCCTAACCGCCTTGGAAGCATGGACTCCTCTATCCATGGTCACTCGCAACCACATCTGTCGGCTCGACCTCGGGGCGAGTTGGACCAGCCCTACTCGTATAACCGATATTCTCAGGAAGAGTCTGCCTCTTACGACCGTCAAAACTCTTATTCTAGTCTAAAACGGCCTTTCTCCCAAACCGAACCACCAGCCTACCAGGAGATAGTTCACGATATGAGGGACGATGGCTCGCGACTCACAGTGAACCAGGACCACAAGTTGCTTTCCTTCCGACGCTCGCAAGACAAGTCTACGATTGTCGATCAGCAGGGCCGTGTACAGCAACTTGAACTGTCTGCTCAGCTCCATGGCATGTTCTTTTTATCGGAGATGCCCGCGAGCAGCAGTGATGGCTCTGTATTGCAGCCTGAGCTGACATGCTATCGTCGAAACTTGTTCCAGATCAGTGGTTCTCTGGTCATGCCACGAGGACAGCTCTCTGTGGTTACGGAGTCCAACGAAACGCTCTCTGTCAGTAATATGGAAGTAGCCGTTTCTGCCATCGAGTCTGTAGATGGCAATCCTGTAAGGCTCATCGTGATTCCCTGGAAAACTCCACCACCGAACTCCCCCGAAATCAGCCAAGGCCCGGACCAGGAGCCGTCTCCGTTGCCTCTGATTCCATTCCAAGAGGATGGAAACGAAAATGATGGAGACTTTGCCGTCTATCCCATCGGTTGGCGTCGACTTCAGTTCAGGATGTAAGTAACCGCCACACATGACAACTCGTAACAGGCAAATCAATTTGGTCTTCTGACGCGAGTCTAGCGCCACTGCCAACAATGGCCGTCGAAAGGAACTTCAGCAGCACTTCGTATTGCACCTCAAGGTCCATGGTACGCTCTCTGACAACTCCAAGGTTGTATTGTCAGAGTCTATCACCGCTCCTATTGTGGTCCGTGGCCGCAGTCCACGGAATTTTCAAGCCCGCAAAGAAATTCCTCTTCTTGGGTCGAGCGCCGGATCGCGAGGTCAGGCGCTGGTGGAGACAGGATTGGGTGTTGTCGCCAGCGCTATTAATCTCAAACAAGAAGGGAAGCCTAGGAGTATGGATATGCAAGTCCCCAGATCAGGGTTTACGTTTAGCCCCCCGAAACCTCACAACCCAAGCATCAATGCCATGAGATCCAAGTTAGTAGCCAAAACCCTATAAAATGGACTTGTTTGCAATAGCGGGCGAGAAAGAACTAACCTGCGTATCCTAATACAGCTCATACCCTTCTTGGAACTCCCAGGTCCCCTCAACAATGGCACCTGATTCGTACTCAAAGCTGCCACTCTCCGGATCTTCGGGATTTGCTACAGAGCCACAGGAGTTGCCGTTGCAAACTTCGATGGGCTCCTCGGTGCCATTGCCACTAGCGAGTGCAGATCAACACCAGCCTGGTTTACGATCTCAGTATAATTATACCACGACGTCGACCCCACAACTACCTGGTAGCACGGTTACTTTAGGAGGGGACAGTGCTTTCAGTATGCCACGATACGTTGACAGCAATCCGAGGCCTTCCAAGAGCCCCCGGCACCAAGGCCATCAGTCTGTTCATAGCAATGGCTCCATCCACAATACGGAAGGCCCAGACTATCGATACAATGCTTTCCGTGGTATTACAAACGGTGTAGGTGATGTCTCGCCAGGTGGCAGCGCAGCACCGTCAAGAGATTACTACCCGCCCGCTCATACGTGGACAACCACGGCTGCAGAGCCTAGTTCGAGCCTCTCCTACGCCGGTAATGATGGCAGGTCTTATTCAGGAGCGTCCCCATTGAAGCACGAACCTGCGCCCTACAGCAACAGCGCTCGAGGCTCATTTGATACAATGAACAACTACTCGTGGACAGCTGCTTAGATTCCACGGATTTCATGCAGGATAGTCATAGTTCATGATATATCTTGCAACAAAAAACCCTTCAAGATGCTCTGAACAACGGTAGGCTTGGGACTGGTGGAGTAGAATGCAGACCGCAGCAAGCCATCAATTTCATTTGACTAAACATAATGTACTATACTCACTACTTTTACTACTATTCACCACTTGCGTTGCTTTGGCGCTGTGGACGCTAGATACCCGCTATTGGCGAGCCCTGGTTTGACCGTTTTTGATGCAAAGCAGCCCGAGAGACAGCTGCCTGACCGTCATGCATGGAGCTTGGCGGTTGCACCAGGGACGCCTCCGATCTACACATGTTATATGAATCAATCAAACCTATTTGACTGTGTGGAACAGTCATATCTGACAGGATGACAAGTTTGTTGATTTGGTTCGGTTGGGCTTTGCCGGAGTTGCATGGGCGCGCGTCCTGAGCATGCAGGCGAGACCCACTACTTCGACGTATATAACTGCATTTTTTGAGTACGTTGCATTAGCATGGCCAGGATAGGCTCTTTGGGTGGCGTGAGGTATGGTCTGATAGGGGCATTGATTGGGGATTGATTAGAGACGTGCTCGGGTTAAATGAGCCACGGGGGACGGACGGATTTGACGACAGGCGCCGAGGCCGCAACACCCGTGGGTTGGCGTTGAGTTTTATTACTAGTCTTTTTGCCTGCTAATATTTGCCTTGACGGCGGCGCTATAGCGATCAGGGGCTTCTTGATGATTTTTTCCATCTTCATTTCTTTTTCGTTTACCCTTTCCCGCCCCTGCCCTGTTCGGTAGTGCAATGGGGTTGTATTTTCTCTCGCATTTAGCTATCTTTTTTTTAGAATTACTCCAGACATGCACACATTAGATACCAGAAATTGTCTACGTTTTTGTGTCATACGGCTCGGGGCTCTGGATGCTGTGATGTTTGATTTTGAAGTGATCATGCTTGACCACGACGAAGCCGACTTAGGCCAGGCTAGCGATGGTCTGTTAGCGCGCGGCAGTCATCTCGCTACTAATAATAAGCAAGTGGAAGCAGGCGGAGGGCGCTTGCTGGTTTCATCCCGACGCCTTCCGTTGGTCGTGTGCGATAAGATAAGAAAATGGCCCCCAACTCACTTGGCGGCTTGAAGTGGGACTGAGGAAAGGTTGGTGGAACACTGAAACTTCATCCGCGAGCGCAAGACGACTTGCTCACGAGCCACGGCCAGTGTGCACAAACCGAGAGCCACTGGTTCGTTATCCAGGTATTTAGTCTAAATCTGCGTTTCAGAACTCGCACACTGGCCCTGGCTGGTCCCGAGTTTGGTCGGCTACAATGTTTGAGCTGCCCGAGGCAAAGAGGTTCGCATTGCTCACGGGGATCTTGATCCTTGACACTGTGACTGACATCCGTGCAGGGTGCGCCGGGAGGATTTGAACAAGGAGCAGGACTTACCATGGAGTGGTCGTGAAGATGAGGGCATTGATCTAGACTTGCAGGCGAGGCTGAATGCGCAGATCGCCAAGTCACTGGGCATGGATGTTGATGGGCCGGCGCCTACAGCTTCAAGTTCTCACGCAAAGCCTCATCTGGCACTCCAACATCCCACGGAGGCCATCGGAGAAGGTGATAGAAAACAAAAGGTGCAAGAAAATTCCGACGAGGACCTGGGCGAGTTCGACTTCCGCCTCTTCAGTACGGCTAGCGTGCCGTCCAAAGTCGTCCTAGAAGATGAAACCGGGCCTCTTGGAGAAGGCGCATTGGTATATCGACGACCTTCGTCATATTACTTGGCGCGAAGTGTACCCGACAGCAAAAGGCGAGAGTATTTGGCTGCAGCAGTGACTGGAGAAGAGGTCGTCGAGCGATCACACTGGCGGGCGTGGGGAATGGAGTTGCCATGGAAAGTGACAAGGTTGACTATCGTGAGAAAAGCAAAAGCTGAAGAGAACAAAAAGATGGAGGGTGTGGTGACGGGACAGGAGAACGCAAAGACGAGAAAAAGGCCGGGGAAGAAGAGACGGATTGCGGTGCGGATGAAGACCAAAGCCAAGAAGGAGAAGGCTGATATTGAGGCAAAGAAAGTGCTGGACAAGGAGGAATATTTAAAGGAGAAGAAGAAAAGGCTGAATCGATTGAAAAAGCTGAGGAAGAGGGCAAAGAAGAAGGCGGGCAAGGCCGACGGGGAAGAAGATGGTCAGGACGACGCCTCGAGTCGAAGCGGTGGCGAATAGGGCGGGCTAGAAGAAGATATTTGGTGATGGAAGGGCGCTCATTCACTGTCCTCATGCGATTTGCACAGATAGTGCAATTGTTTTATACTATTGGAGCCTGTAGACAATCGTCGCGGCTAGTGTCACGGTGAATCGAGTACTGTGGTAGTGCAGTCCAGCACAGGACGCAAGATTGTTTTCAAACCTGCAGAGGGGAGAGCCTACAATGAGATGAATTGATTGTATGCATAGATGGATAACTAATGAGATATAGTAAATAAATAAAAAACCACGTGTGTCTCGTTCCGTCCTTGATGTCTTTTTGAACGGCACATTTGGCTCTTGTTGCTGAGTTGAGGTTCCATGCCAGCCAATGGGGACGCTTCCTCCGTACCTACCAGCCTGAAAAAACCCCGCCAACTCCAACCCATAGCTCAAGCTTCGCTCAACAACGCAGGCCCCTCGGATCGGTAGGCACTTACGCGAAGTCTATCTTCAATCCTGATCAACAAAACCCACGAATTCGAGCGTCTGTTTGAGGTGGGTCAAATGGACTGAAGCTCATAGAGCGCACAACAAACCGGTGGACGGGACGCGCAATGCGCCAGGAACGACCGAGCTACGACATCACTGCCTAACCTCCCTGCTCTCGTCACCACACCACCACAAGCCATGTGGCCGAATCCCAGATTCGTTCCCGAGGAAATCTCCGAGCCTCCGAGGCCGACAGACGATGTAGCAGATACGGGAGAAGTTGCTGGAGGCGGAATAAGGACCGAACAACTGAATAAACCCCCTGTACCCGTGCCGCCGTCAAGACCAAGCCTACATCGAAATGCAATGCCTTCAGGTCTCGCAGCAGCAGGAGCACCAGGCCAGGCCAAGATAAAACAGCAGCCTCAGCAGCAGCAGAGCCCGGCACCTACCGACTCTCTCTCACTGCTTCAGCTCCGCCGCATTGTCGCCGAAGTGAATCGCGCCGAACCTGTTGCCTACGACTTTGTCTACTCAGACATGGGACCGCATGCCGAGGAGATCGACGAATGGTTCGTGTACCAATTCTGGCAGTGGGTTCGTCTGAATGCTGCTCAGAAGGCATTCGAGTGGCACTGGAACAATGATTCTGACGGGCAGCATTCGTGGGACGATGCGGATCACGACACGCGGGCCAAGTTTATACAGGCCGCCATTGCGGGAGTGCAGTCGAATGATGCGGCGTTGCGATCTGCATCAATAGGCAAGATTGTATATCTCGTTTTGGGCCGGTGGGGAGACACGGCTATGTCCAATGCACCGGTTGGAGGTAGCCGGTCGATTGCAAGTATACCCCAGCTGCAGGCCATCAAGGCCGGTGTGGAGTGTTTAGCATCCTTGGAAGGACTGCCGGTGATTTGGGAGGCGCTGAGAAACTGTTTCGAGCTGCATTGGTAAGACGGCGACTCACAGGGCTGTGTGAAGTGAACCCGCGATTTGCTGATTTGTTGTAGGTCTGGAGACATCCATCAACAGGCAAGCCCGCAGGAGGCACAGGACGAGTTGATGAATCTGATGACAATTATCTATATTGCTATTCAGGAGACGCTGAATGATCCAGACGATATGTCTTCATCATACAAGGCATTGTGTAAGTGGCTCGGTGTGGGCCGGTGACCAGGTGATTCATTCATCCAGATATGACTAACGCTGTTGGTTGTCTAGTGGAATTGAATCCGTCTTTGGTGGACTTTATGTTGACGGCTACTTCTAAACTGCGATGGGATGAGCAAAATTTCATGCCGCTTACACAGGTGATTGAGACGTGACTGGGGGTTTGAGGGTTGCGTTGCTAACAGACGCGCAGATCTTCCTCTTGTTCTGGAAATCCATATTACTCGTATTTGGCGGCACACAAGATCTAGCAAAGGTAAAGGCGGCCCTGAGCGAGACAAAAGAAGGCATGAGTAAGGAAACTATCACAGCATCGCCTCTGGACTACCATGTGTTCCGACAAGAGATTACATCCAAGTATCCAGCGTATGTCCCTCCACAGCCTCTGATACCCCTAGAAGACGAAACCACATCGATCCTACCGCCCATTCCGAACCATCCGGCACGAAACAATGGCTCAAATGGAATTATTGCAACCCCCGCACAGCTGCAAACCGGTGGTGCCTCCATCTTAAACCAACCAGTTCACATCGCCACCCCTGCGCCATCCCCTCCGCCTTCACCCGGAGTCGGTGGAAAAGCAGGCAAGAAGCAGAATTACCAAACAAATCAAAACTTCCCCTTCATGTACCCACCCCTAGATGCCACTAGTAACAGCGCTGGCGGGAAGGGCATGGCTGGCATTGACGACTCAATCGTGAGTCGGAGATGGGAAGGAAGCGATATCCCTGCTTCGATTCTTGAGGCTGGCGAACTCTTCTCCGCCAGGGTGCGGATGACGCGCGCAACACGGCAAATGTGGGAAGAGCGAGAACGCTTTCTCAAATTTGAGCGCGGATGGACGGAGAATGATGATGATGAGGATGAGATTGAGGATCTCGACCTCAATGAGTTGACGTTGGAGGAGAGGGAGGTGCTCAAGGAGATCAAGGCTGAGGACAAGACAGCAAAGCTTGCACACGCTCCGGAGCCCGAGGTGGATTACGGACCACACCCGGAGAACCTGTCAGAAAGAGATAAGCAACGATTGATCGCGGTGGAGAGATTCTACGTAAGTTCTCGAACCAAGAGGGTGTGTGGATCATCATTTGTTGACCGACTTTGTCTCAACAGAAAGAGTCGTTGCCTCATTTGCAGTCACTCGTTATTGTCCTGTTACGGCCAATCCTGGTCAACGTCACCGCCATTGTAGCGCAGCAAGCTGGCCAGATGCCCAATGGTATGGCGGGTAGAGGAAATAACCCAGGAATGAATGGCGGCTCTGGTGGACCAAGGCCTCCAGAGATTCCGGGACAGATCGCCGCACAGGAAGAGCCCGAGCACTCACTCGAGGAAGTCGATGCCGCCAGGACGAGAGAAATCACATCCAAGGCCATGACTGGGATTCTTGTGTTACTTCTCAAGTGGCTGAGGATATCTCGTAAGATGGCATGCTGTGACCTCTTGTTGATTTCCCCCCCCACTGACCTTGTACAGACGTTCTCAAGTTTGAGTATTTCACGCAACTACTTTTGGACTCAAATTACATCCCACTGGTGTTGAAACTTTTTGCCCATCAGGATGTTCAGCAGGTAGTGGACAGCAAAATGGACCGAGTAGAGAACAGGTAGGGAGCTCTCACCAACAATATAAACAGCACTCCTCGTTCTAACGAGCCAACAGCTTCTTCCAGTTCTGTAATCTGCGCTCCAAGCTCAAGGACAAGGCCGACAGTGACTTGGAAAATGAGGACGAGGAAGAGAGAGAAGATGCCGAGGGCGAGGACAAAACAGGGCAGCAGAAGCAACCCGACTCTGAAAATGACAGTGAAGACGAAGCCGTGCCCCCACCCATCAAACGCAGACGATCCCCGGCTAGGGATGTTGATGCTGAAGAGGAAGAAGACGAAGGTGAAGCCAGCGACGATCAAGCCTCAACGCGACCTGAGGTCGACGAACTTGGGTACCCCGTCAACCCTCTCCCGGAAGAACCCATCACGGATTTTTCTCGCCGTAACTTCTTCTCCCTCATCAACTACCTCCGCGTCCTCCAAAAGATTTGCAAAAACAAATCCCACCGCAACCTCCTCCTCGTACAATACAAATCCTCCACCATCTTACGCAAGTCCCTGCGCGTCCCGCAGCCCGAGCTGCGGCTATACACGCTCAAACTCTTCAAGAACCAGGTCCCCTACTGCGGACGCAAATGGCGCCAGTCAAACATGCGTGTCATAACGGCCGTGTATCTGCACTGTCGCCCCGAGTTGAGGGACGAGTGGCTCGCCGGGAGCGACGTGGACGCCGAGGTGGACTCGGCGCTGCCGCTGGAGCAGGCCCTGAGGAGTCTGACGCATTGGTTCAATGTGCGGCGGTATCCTGATAAGATTGCTGCGGATATACGGACGGCAATGCGAGAGGAGCAGGACTTTTTCAGCAGGGAGTTGGAGAAGATTGATGTTGGGTGGGGGGATGAGGCAGAACCCGGCGGCGAGTTGGATCATGTGGAGGGATGGGCTTGAGTAGACCAGTGGGGTGTGCATGGCCTGGACTGATGCCAGTTGTGAGTACCGCCCATGGCCAAAACCTGTGTTGATACGAAATGAGATGTCGTTATGAAGTTCTGCCCCATGATGCAACTACCAAGGAAAGACGCCCTTGAGCGTTCCACCGCATGTTACTCAGAATGGTGCAGTAAAGATGTATATTAACATTTGCAGGTCATAGCTCGATTCATCAAATATTACAACAACAAGACGACAAGGACGTAGCGAGAGGCAACCCCCGCTAAGTCGGGGTATCACAGCAATTCACCACCGCACACGGCATTCCTCCCCTTGCCCAAGGCCCTACTCTTTCAAGGATTCGCTCGCTTTCAAGCACGCTCGTAAATGCCGTCCTCATACTTGTAGCTCCTGGGCGGCGCGCCACTCGTCTGCGGCGCCGTATGCCAGGCCCCCGTCGTGCCGTGCGTCTGCAACCCATCCCCGCCCTCCTGCTTGTAGTAATCAGCGGTGCCGTCGTGGTTCACAGCCGTGTTCTCGGTGCCATAGCTCTGGCGCGCATGGTCCAGCTGATCCGGGTGCGTGTGCTCCGGCAGGCGATTGGCCTCGTCCAGCGGCGCGGGATCCTTGTCCCGGCGGAAGCGACTGAAGAAGCCGCGCCTTGCGTAGCCCGACGTGTAGTTGTTGCCGGGGGAGGGGCCGAAGCGTTTCTCCTTGCGGTGATGGCGAACCAGGGCTACCTCCATGAGCATGGACAAGATGAAGAAGAAGCTGTGGCATTGTGAGCATGTTTGATTTCCCTTTTTTTTTTTAAAGAGAGGGGAGGGGGGGTGTTGCAGTATATATATATGTGTGTGTGTGTATGCGTCTTACATTGCGATGATGGCGACGGCCATGCTGGCGGTTTGCAGCCGGCACGCGGTATGGAAGCTGGGCAGAGCGGTGAAGCCATCCTTGTTGCCCGTGGCCATGGCGTCGGACCGTCCTTGGCCAAAGGGCGTGTCGACGTAGCCGGTGCAGCTGCCGGCGCCGTGCTTGTTCACGACGGCCACGTAGATGAAGCAGCCGATGAAGCAGAAGTCGAGGACCATGGCGATGAAGGAGGTGAATGCGAGGCCGGCGACGCAGCAGAGCAGCAGCAGGCCGACGAGCGTGTAGAGGGCCGCGGCGCCCGAGATGCCCGTCACGGCGCGGACCGACGTGTCGATGGGGAGGCTGTGGTTGTGCAGCGACGCCAGGAAGTACGCGTATATGCCGAGGATGAGGGCCGCGCAGAGGAACTGGATGCCGCGGATGAACCACTGCAGGAACTTGAGGGCCAGGCCCGATTTTGCGCCCATGGTGGTGAACCGAAGGGGATTGCAGACGACGAGTCGATGGTGATGGCTGGCGGTCGTTTAGGTGGATGGTACTTTTGGCGTCGAGGGCGAGAGGAATTAACGACGCTGGAGTGGTTGGTGGGGATACAGAGGTTGATGTCTTGACGTAGGATGAGGGCTGGAGGAGACGAGTTTTAAATGTGACGGAGTGTATGATGCAATGCTGAGACGAGAGGGCCACTTCCGTGCCGATCGAAATGGAAGTGCGTTTCAAGTGCCGACGCAGAGGGCAAAAGCAGGGACCAGCGGTTCATGGGTCATTCAGGATTGTTTCTCGGATTGATGTTTGACCAGACCTTCTTCACCCGCAAACCCGCAGCTGCCTCCCATCATTTGCCTCACATGCTGCATTGAGTGAGCTGCCTCCCGGAAAATTAGGCGCTGGCAAAGACACATGGCGTCCGATTCGATGGTTTCATTGCCATGGACCTTGGACCTGGAAAGATGACGACAACATGTGTGGCTGGTGGGGCGCTGATGTCGTCAAATGGCCGGGGACAATCAGTTTGCGGACACGTGATTGGATCATGATGCCGTTATGCCATGGCCACAGCCACAGCCATGTAGGTGTTCGTCAGAATGGACTCAAATGTGGGAATGTACCTAGGTAGTCACATAGTTAATGAGTTGGATAATGTGGAGTGAATTGATGCAGTTGAGATGGGCTTCGAGATGCCCTTTAAGAGCTGCAAAGACAATTTCTGTCTTGGATCCTATTCTGATATGGCTATAAATATCTTGCAGATAGAGTTGTTCCAGCCCAGACTGAGACAACGGCACTGCCCGAGGTGGGACACGTGAAACAAATTGATTTACACGACCATTGTTGGTGAGGCGGATGCGAACTTGAACTCGTCAACGTTAAGTGGACGACGAGTCGGTTCGACCTCTTCAGCACTCCATGAAATGATAGGTAGCAGCAGTGCCTACACTTGGCGCCGTGAATAATAATTTTTGAGTAGCATTGGGAATAAGAACAGCACGTAGGACTGCCCTGAGCCACACTGCGCCGTTTCCCTCCATTAGGTTACGCCATCCGTTTGTGGCACTACGTACGTAGTTGCAATTATGAGACAAACCAGCACAGCCAACTCCACATATCGCTGACACACTCCATAAGCTGGTATGTATCAGTGGCTGAACAAATATTTGAGCTGACACTGAAGTACTATTGGCAAGAATGAATGGAAAAAGAAAAAAATAGAAAAAGAAAAAAGAGTCCAATGAGTAACAGTACCGGTGAGATTGCCTGGCTGGTAATATCAAAATCAGCATCAGCTTGTCGGTCGTGAGACATTCGCCAGGTCGGAATCAAGACGCGTAGAGGCAAGCTCGGTAGGACATAGGTCGATATAGTCCAAAAATATCATGACTATCGACTCACAATGCATTCCGGGTGCAGCCTCGTCGCCAACGTTCCATTGTCCCCCGGTAGAAAGTGTTCATTATTGCCAATGATGCGGGAATTACATCGTAGCCTGGCCACCTGAGAAAATCTAGATTCAGTAATTTCCAATGTTTTGCGAAAAAAAAAAAAAAGGCATCCACAACGGACCGGTGCGCAAGGATCCCTTCAACGTTTGTACCTCTCGAGTATATACAATAGCACGGGTCAATTCGCCGTTCAATGCCCTTGACCTGCGTCATGTGTCGGCGGAGAGGAGAAGGTAGGGGCGAGATTCTTCCGTTTCCATGCACCCTGCAACTCAGCCGGCTATGCCTGTGCCATTCACAAGTTCCCCTGCAGACATCGGCGCTGATGAAGTCAAGAACGGGCAGAGTAATATCCGGGCATCCATTCCAGAAGCTGATGTCGACAATGGGCAGGGCTTTTTGGCCCCCAAGCTGAGGACCTACATACATATTTGTACTCCGTGCATGTCAAGGATTCATATATCTCACCTGGCTCAACGATGCCGAATAGGCTGTCAACGATTGGTCTATTCGTAGGCCAATCTTGGATCGTCAACTGAGACGCCACACCGGTTGTTGCGTAGGATAATTAAGAAACGCCGTGGCGACGTTTATCTGCTGGAGCCGAGAACTGGTCAGGATTCTCGGCCGCAAGATCAGGTTCAGGCCTGCCAGGGGCGAGAAGGGGGGCAAAAAGAAGCAAGTGAATAATCGGGCAGGAGCCACCCGCCATTTCAAGGGGTGGGGGCCGGCGTTGTTGTGAGATGTGGGCGCACAGAAAGTCAAAGGACACCGCACCGGGTACTACAGTCCACTAAGCTTGTCGACGCCACAACACCAGCCAAGCATTGTCATTTATCGTCATCTGATTTTTCGCGATTCGCTCCTGTTGGTAGCAACGTCAGCTCATCCTTGAAGACGAGGAGTCTCAACCGTCGGAATGTCCCTGGGCTGCTGAATGGCAACACGTATGTACTATCTGCCTGTGCTCTCCCACCTAACATTAGGCACGTGACAACCGGTAATCATGTACAGGCTTTCATCGTGTCTATGCTGAAGTTGATCATTAGACTAGTAAACACGGACTCTAACACGGAGTAAGGAACTGGACTAGTGCGCCAGAAGACCGGATCAAAACCCGGAACCTCGCAGGCACTCAACGCCCACGTTGCATCCAACCACGCCAAAATCGTGGCAAGTGGGTGGATCGGGTGGTGGAATTGGACGAGCAAGGGAAGACGAACTAGGGCCGTCGTGCGCACCATCAGATTTGTCCTTTGTTAAACGTCTCGCACGTTTTGCACCCTGCGGAGAATATTGTGTTGGACTATGTCAGCACCGTGACCTGCTCTGCATCCCCATGGGTAGCACAACCCGTACACCATTCGCTAACAACCCTGATCCAGCAGACGACTTCTATCCCATGGTGCACACATGCAACTGAATCCAGGAAGCGGTGATAATATGGACAAAGCAACAGAACCCCGTGCCAAGTCTGTACGCAGCTCACCTGCGTTAACATGGTGTTGCTGATGTTCTTGCAGCTTGCAGAACACAGCAGCGCCAAGCCAGTCAACTGCAGGCGAAGGCACGCAGCATCAACATCACTCATTACTTGGATGCAATATCTTGGGAGCCACAAACTGGCAGTATCATCAGTTGTGGTTCAGCGTGATCCAGCATGGCCGTCCGTAGTGCTTGGGCCCAGACAAATCATAAACGGTCTGTATCCAATCTATTGGCAGCCAAGACGACTCGATGACATCCATCCGCTTCCTTGAAAACGGCGAGGAACAACATCTAGCAATTTGTTACCCCGGTCCCCTACAGAGCGAGCCTACTGAGGTTGTACGGTCATCGGTTAGCTACCCATTGTCTGTCTAGCTGGGCTGACCACGTCGTGGAACTGCAGCCCGACAATGAAAGCAGCAGGGATGTTCGGGACTGCGGCTGAGCGGCAGCGAATGGTTGTATATTGGATAATCCGGCACCAGACGCCACGACCCCTGGGCGACTAATGCAAACGCCGCCAAAAATACGAGGCCCATTCCAACTAGACTAGGCTGCGGTTGAGCAATGACACATTGCCAATTGGTACAACTGCCTCCACTCTTGGACGTCTGTTATTTCGCGAAGCGTGCAGGGCGCCTTTTCGTTTCTTGTGAGAGCTTGCAGTCTGAGGCCTGGGTGGGCGCCTGGACCGCGCCGCCATGGCCCTTGGTTCCGTGACCGATTTTCAATATGCATTGCATAGAGACATCGGGCCATGCCCGGCCGCTTTTTCGTACTCCTCCATGCCTCAATGTGTATTCAGCTTTTCTTTTTGTGGTGTGTTTTTGGAAGTTCATAAATCTGCTGCGTCCTCGCCTTCCGGTCATGTTTTGACGATCGCTGTCCTTCGTTTGTAGGCGCTCAACGACATTGTTGGTGTTGGTTATCATCACCCTGCTTTTGCCCTTTTTGCTTTGGCTCTGGCCGTCAGTTTCTGTGATTCTACGGAGCAGAGGCCGCGGGTTCGCGAGCTTTGGCCAACGGGAAACAGCCCTCTCTTGTCGGATTGTGGAATCGATACTTGAAAGTCCTCGATAGTCTCGAAGAACTCATCAACATGAAGACCTCACCCGTGTTGCTGGGCCTTCTTAGCCTGCCCGGTTCAGCCTTGGCTGATCCGACCTGGCCCTCTAGCATTGACGAACTAGAGGAGATTATGTATCAAATCAACTCTTTCCGGGCTCGCAAATTTGCTGATACCGTCAACCCGTGCACCAACGAAGCCTCAGGTCCCGGTCGCCGCAATGCTGCAGAGTGGTTACGGGCCGCCTTCCACGACATGTCAACGGCCAACACCTTCTTCAAGACTGGTGGTCTTGACGGTTCCCTGCAGTATGAGTTGGATAATGGTGAAAACACAGGTCCAGGCCATAGAACGACCATGAATTTCATGGGGCCTTATGTCACCTCCCGTTCTAGTCTCTCCGACTTGATTGCCATGGGGGTCTATATGTCTGTTCGTTCATGCGGCGGCCCAATCATTCCAATTCGCGCCGGACGTAAAGATGCTACCGCCGCCGGCTCCTTGGGTGTTCCCCAGCCTCAGAATTCAGCAACCATGTTCCAACAGCAGTTTGAACGCATGGGGTTCACCACTGAGGAAATGATTCAGGCTACGGCCTGCGGCCACACGCTTGGTGGCGTTCACCAAGACGAATTCCCCGATCTCATGCCAGCCACTGGTGTAGTCAGTGGCAACGTAGCACTCGATACTACTGATGCCGTCTTTGACAACAAGGTCGTTACCGAATACCTCTCTGGAAACACCTCTAACATGCTCGTCGTTGGCCCCTCCGTCAAGATTAACAAGAACTCGGACTTCAAGGTCTATAATGTCGACGGAAACAAGACCATGGAGACTTTGACTGACGCCAACAACTTCAGGGCCGTCTGCCAAAAGGTCCTTCAAAAGATGATTGAGGTGGTTCCTCCAACCGTCACCCTTACCGACCCAATTGTCCCCTACACCGTCAAGCCTGTCAACCTGCAGCTTACTCTGACTAACGGCGTCACTGGTCTTCAATTCACCGGGTACATTCGCGTCAAGACTACTGGTCTTGCCAAGGACAGCATCAAGAATGTGGCCATCACTTACAAGGACCGCAAGGGCAATGCAAACTGTGGTGCGAGCTCTTGCACCATCACGAGCACGGTTCAGGGGGTTGCGCAAGGCTTCGACGACAACTTCAACTTTTACCCCATCGAGGCCGTCATTCCTGCTGCATCGGGTATCTCGTCCTTCACAGTTACCGTGAACAATGCCGATGGAACGAGTAAAGCCTACGACAACAACGGCAGTGGCTATCCTCTCCAGGATGATATCTTGTTCCAGGCCCCTCAGAGCTGTGTCACTGGCAGCTCTGGCGCCCTTACCGTGGTTGCTGCTGTCCGCAATGATGTTGCCAGCAATGGTGCCCAGGCTAGCATTACCTACAAAACCCCGCAGACCAACAGCCCCGTCGCCCTCTTGAACAATGCCACTGTCCCTCTCCAGAAAGGCGCCTGTCTTGGCAAGTACACCCTTTTCTCGGGCCAGTACACCATCCCCGGTGGCATGCCTTACCAGTCTCGTGTTGATGTTGTTTCTGGAAGCAAAGCCGACACCTTTAAGGCTATTACTGATATTGGCGGAACCTGCACCGCGTTCCCCAACCCTGGGGCCTGCGATGGTGTTGACCCTCCGGTTAACTCGACCACCACCACAACCGCCACCACGACCACCACCACGACAACTCCCGGTTCCACGGCCACGACCACAACCACAACCTCGATAGTGGCGCCCGTTACCCCTACCCACCGTGCCACTGTTGGCGGCTATACTCATGTCTCCTGCTGGACCGAGGGCGTCGGCGTCCGAGCGCTGGCTGGCATCTCTTTCGCCAACGACACCATGACCCTTGAGAAGTGCGCCGACTACTGTAAAGCTTATGTATACTGGGGTACCGAGTATGGTCGTGAATGTAAGCTTCCAACCTAGAAGACCCATCTCATTTTGGTCTTGAAAATTTATTCGAATGCGAGTATCTGACTGGAGAATTAGGCTACTGCGGAAATGCTCTTGACAAGACCAGTGCGGCTGCTGCCCTCATTGAATGCAACATGGCCTGCGGCGGAGACCCTAGCGCGTATTGCGGCGCCGGCAACCGTCTCGAGCTGTACTCGACGACGAGCGCACCCGTTACGCCGACTCCTACTGCCACTCTCAGTCACAAGCCCACTGTGGCCCCGTACACTATGGTCGGCTGTTGGACCGAGGGCAACGGCGCCAGGGCACTTGCACAAGCGGCCACTACCAGTGACAAGATGACCAATGAAGCTTGTGCTACCTTCTGCAAGTCTTTCAAGTATTTCGGCACCGAGTACGGCAGTGAATGTTACTGCGGCAGCTTCCTCGCTGATAGCAGCAAGACGGCGCCTCTTGAGGAATGTAACATGCCTTGCTCTGGTGATAAGTACGAGTACTGTGGTGCTAGCAGCCGCTTGGAGCTTTACCAGAACCCCAACGTTACCACTGGTAACCCCGAGCAGCCTGCAGCTGTTGGCAATTATGTCCTCGTCGGCTGCCAAACTGAGGGCAACAACACGAGAGCCCTGGCCGGCTCGGCGCTGGCGCAGGATAACATGACCAATGAAGTGTGTGCCACGTACTGCAAGGACTTTACGTACTTTGGTACCGAGTATGGCCGAGAGTGCTACTGCGGTAACGCTCTTGATGCTTCCTCGGCTGTTGCCCCCGCCACTGAATGCAGAATGCTCTGCGGTGGTAGTGACACAGAGTACTGCGGTGCTAGCAACAGGCTGTCTGTTTATAAGAAGAAGCAGACCCCTCCCGCCACGACACAGAAGCGAAGACGCAACCACTTGTAGTGTTGCATGTGGTTAGGGGATGGTGTCGTGTGGGAAACCAGGCATATTTATGATGGCGTGATTTTAGGCTACATTTAAAACTGAATATATCAAGTGATTCATTGTCAAAGATTTTTTTTTTCTCTTGCAATCCGATATTAGTGATGTACGGCTCAGGCTCTCAGTTCCGTGGTTCCTTCCTGGGTCCACGCAGTAGTCTAGGGCAATCATAGTTGGCCTGTTGTGAATCAGTAGGTCTACGATTCTGCAAGACATGGCGCCGACGTTCTATAATGGTAGTAATGGTGCTTCTTGTCCCCAGGTGAACCTGGCCGCCTCGTACACTGTATAAATTGCAAGGCCGGAGATGACTGGCCGGGTCTCGGACCCGAAGTGGAGACGTATCGGCACCGGGAGCCAAGCAACTCCCGACGTCCCAAAAGATGAGTTCATGAGCCCAAAATATCGGTGCGTCCAGTCCAAAGTCATGCAGCATCTTTTATCCCGTGTGTCAGCTTGAAACTATTTTGTTTCTTATTTCTTCCTTTTCCCTTTCGGAAAATTGTTCGGCGGGGAAATGATAAGAGTTGCAGCTTCTGTAAATGTGAAGATGCACAACGGCCTTGGGTGTGCACGCTAGGGATCCAGCTTGCCTTATCTCCGTGACGACGTCACCATCCTTTCCCAGCTGGGGGATGAGTCGAGGTTTCTCGGGACCGCTCTTGCGTTCATCTACGACTAACTGGCTGCGTGTCTACAAATACCAAGGGGGGAGATTGACGGCCCGTCAGGCTTAAATTTACTCACCATTGTCACCCGTTGTCTCTGTCGTTGGTGACGTCCAGCTTTGCACAAACACTTGACACGATTCACGTCCGCTAGAGGCCCAGCAGACCATGGGCCGGCTCAGGATCCTCATCAGCGGCGCGGGCATCGCGGGCATAGCGCTCGCGTTCTGGCTCTCCAAGCTGGGCCACGCCGTCACCGTGGTCGAGCGGTTCCCGGGGCTCCGCGTAAACGGGCTCCAGCTGGACCTGCGCGGGCACGGCATCGCCGTCATGAAGCGCATTGGGCTCGAGGCCGAGTTCCGGGCCAACTGCACGCCGGAGCAGGGCGTCGAGGTTGTCGACGCGCACGGCGCGCGGTGGGCGTTTTTCGGGGCGAATACCTCGGGCAAGGGGTCGCAGAGCTTCACTTCGGAATACGAAATCATGCGCGGCGACCTGTGTCGCATCATGTACGACGCTACGAGGGACAGGGTCAAGTACGTCTTTGGCACGTGGATTGATAGCTACGAGGACGCCGAGGGCGCGGCAGGCGTCGAGGTGCGGCTTGCGGATGGAAGCGTGGGCGAGTTCGACCTCGTCGTCGGTGCGGATGGCTTGCGCTCCCGCACGCGGAGGATGATGTTTGACGCGGAGGAGAGGTGTTTCCGCGCTCTGGGCGAGAATATTGCGTACCTGCGGATACCGAAGCCGGTTGGGGAGGGCGAGGCGGCGGCGTATGTTGCGACGGCGTATGTTGCCCCCGGGGGCAGGTTCGTGCTCACGAGGAGGAGCAACGCGCACCAGCTGCAGGTGTATCTGAGCAGCAAGCACGTCTCGGAGCGTCTGGGGCTCGTGGAGAGGGGGGACGTGCAGGGCGAGAAGAGGGCGTTTGAGGACGAGTTCCGCGGCGCGGGATGGCGGACGGACGAGCTGCTGGATGCGATGCTTGAGAGCGACGACTTCTACTGCGAGTCGCAGGGGCTGGTCAAGTTGGAGACGTGGTCGCGCGGCCGGGTCACGCTCGTGGGCGACGCGGGCTACAGCTCGTCTGCGAGCGGGCTGGGGACGTCGGCGGCCATGATTGGGGCCTATGTGCTTGCGGGCGAGATTGGACGACACGTCGGGCGGGGGAGCGAGGGTCTCGCCGAGGGTGTAGATGGTGCTTCGTCCCAGGGCGAGGGCGTGAGGACGGCGCTGGACGCGTATGAGCGCACGTTGAGGCCGCTCGCGGACAAGATACAGCAGGGCATGGACGGCGAGGGGTTCTTTGACGGCGTGCGGTGGACGGCGTGGCAGGTTCGGCTGCTGTATTGGGCTGCGTGGCTTGCGTCGGCGGTGAGGATGGACAGGTTGCTGGGGCTGGTTGCTGGCTATCGGGGTGATGCGTGGGCACTGCCCGACTATGAGGAGTTGAAGTGAGGTTGGTGAGCATTTGTTGGCCTTGGGTTAGGGTTACATGGCGTTTTGGCAGGCGGGTTACCATTCCACTTCTTCTTTTTGTAGACAAATGATACCTCTCTTGATCTCTAGAAAGTAAGTAAAGTCTATTCATTAAGGTCTAATTACTTTAAATAAAGTGAGTATATCTGGTTCTTCACACCACTTCGATTGGGTAATCGCAGCCATATTGCCGCAGCGACTGTTTGACATGGTGCACACGGAGGCATATGAATATCGGACTTGTACCAACTCTGTCCTGTCCTGCATCTACGTCTAGCGCCAGACATAGCCTCCCCATGCCAACAATGCATTGTGTCCGTGCCAATTTTTCTATGATTTTAATTTTAATGTCAATCTCAGTTTTTCAAAGTAGGGGATGCAGTTCTCAAACTTGACACTGCCAGGTACAAACGTCTAAGTACATGTTGTTCCATCAAGTCAGAGCATCACGCCAGCACCAGCCTGGCACTGCCGCCAAGCATACCACATCATATACCCACGCTTACCCACCAGACAGAACAAGGTAGAAGACCTAACGATGAAGTAATACTATTGCGGGCACAACCTTGGCAAGCAAGCTCACTGCGGCACGCCAGGTTGCCGATTTTGCGTAACGGGAGCCACTTTCTGTACCTTGTCTCAGCAGGGAGTTGCAGAGCGCGTGCATTTCCCATCCTGCCATTCCATGTGCAAAAATCGAAGCAATCGAAGCAAAGGCAAGAATGTCAATAGACTACCCAAAATTAGAAGAATAAGAGTTAGAAAAAAAGCTCCCGCAAATACAATTCCACATGCTCTTGGAATTTCCCATCTTTCAATTCATCTATTCCACGCCGTCGCACCTTCCCTTCACAGTCCACACGGCACTAGTGGCCCGTGCCCCTCAGTCCTTGACCCCTCGCAACAATCCCACTACCTGTGTGGGCCCCCAAAACGTCAACGATTTAGACGTCGCAAGCAAGTACACCCCACAAAACGCCAATGACGTAGCTAACCCCAAGCTCTCGTCTTCCCACCCGCAGGAAGCTCTCCAGTCGTCATACCGAGTACCGCCATTCTGAAATCCCGCGAGTGCATGAAATGACAGCTGCCACTCCGGCATCCGGGCAAACTTTATTAAGCCCGTCCTCTCGCATCTTTCCATCCTACCTTTTCCCCCTTTCTCCTCAATTTCCCGTTTTTCCATCGTTCCATCAAAATCAACAACAAAACTTGCCAAAAGTTGACTCGATCAAGTCAACCCTCCATCAACAACACCTTCTTCCTCAGGTTAAAAAAAGCATCACAAAACACCCGGAGCTCAGCTCACGCGACACCAACCCCGCACCTGCCCAAGCTCACAAAGTTTCTCTCTGATCACCCTCCTCAAAGAAACAAAAATGACTCGAGGCGAGAGCACGCAGACCAAGGTCCACTACAAGGGCTCCATCGACGACTTCCTCGTCTTCGTCGAGGACGTGGACCAGTACAAGAAGTGGCGGAAGGGGGACACGTCCATCCCCCTGGCGCAATTCGTGTCGTCGTTTAAGATCTTCCTTACCCACAGGTACACACATACACATTTTCCCCATCACTTGTCATGTCGTCCCCTTGGCAGACAGCAGCCCCGAGCGTTGAGGAGCTGCCTACTGACAGGCTCTTTGCAGACAAGGCGCGCAGGGCACGTACGACGCGGCGCCCAAGAACGTGCTGTACTCGGAATTCGGCACCGACGACGACGACGAAGTCATCAAGAAGATTCTCAAACACGGCGCCATGCAGACCATGGAGGTGCGCCCCCTGGTTTCTCCCCCTCTAATTGTCGCATCGCATAAGCAGAAACTAACTCCATGTACAGATGCCCGGTCGACAGGGCGTTACCAACGAGAGCATGAGCTCCATGAAGACTCACTAAGCGTATTCATTTAGGCAGGCGTTGTTATGAGCTACGGAAGCATGGAATCATCTTCACTTCGTCTTTTTTTTAACTCGCCTTTTATTCCACTGGCACTTGTGCGAATTGTATTTTTATAGAAAAGAGAAAAAAAAACTGAAATAGCTCTTCCTTGGGGGATCCCTAGCGCATCCCAGTCAATATGTCCGACGGCGGTGGCGACGCAACTCTGTTTGAGCAGAGCTTTACGGTCACCAGATATGATCAATCCAAATACGATCGTGTTGCCCGCACATCCTGTATATTGGCCGACTCGCAAACTGTGATGGTGCTTGATACCGACATTAAACTCTTCCCTTGCGCAAGGTCCGATTCCGATTCCCTATTGGGGCATGCGGCGGTTGTTCCCATCCATGGCTTGTCATCACTGCCATCTGCACTTGGCAAATTTTAACAAGTGTGCCTAGATATGACTGTCCCTTGGTGGCCACTGATTTTAGGTGGTGCTATACTTTTCGTGGCCCTGTATATTGGGCGACTCGCAAACTGTGAGGGTGCTTGATACCGACATTAAACTCTTCCCTTGCGCAAGGTCCGATTCCGATTCCCTATTGGGGCATGCGGCGGTTGTTCCCATCCATGGCTTGTCATCACTGCCATCTGCACTTGGCAAATTTTAACAAGTGTGCCTAGATATGACTGTCCCTTGGTGGCCACTGATTTTAGGTGGTGCTATACTTTTCGTGGCCTGTTTAATGCCGCCCTTCATGGGAAACTGAGCACAATTTGATGCCCAAGCAAAGTGACTCTCGTCCAAGCAGTAATACTTAAAACGCATAAAAAGCAATGCTAGCACAGCTCACATCTACCACTGCCAAATCTTCTAGTTATTCTCATCATTAAGTATTATCTATGCTTGCGAGACAAATATTTCCCAATCTGAATCTCTCGTTTTGCCATATGTACTTGTGAATACTGCATACTACTGTTCGGTTACCCTCGTGTCTCCCTCCTCCAAGTCTATGCAGAATAGGTATCAGGTTTCTTGGGAAAGTCAAAATAAAGAAATGTTACCTTGCCCGACGCGTGCCCCAAAATCACAATGTCTTCACATACAGCCAACACGTTCGATGTGTAGCTGGTCGGCAGCAACGTCAAAACACCACGTCCCTCAATCCACACATCGCCTAGTCTCGCCTCAGACTCCATACCCGGGAATGCTACCGGCTTGTAAACAAAGAGTGTATTGTCTGGTGCCTTCTTGTTCAACCACGTCTGCCCAGAGGCGCTGCTCGGCACGGAGCCCGCAGTCGTCACGATAGTCTCCCCATCAGCCGCGAATGTCATGTCAGAAAAGGTCTCTTGCTGGCTAAGAACCAGTCGTCTCGAGTTGGATGCCTTGTCCAGCGCGTAGATCCAGCCATTGACAGACCCCATCATGACCGTCGAGTCGTCTGGGGAAAAGGCGAGCGCCATGGGGCAGTCGGATTCCTCCACACCAAACACATGCACTTGGTTTCCGGTCTCGGTATCCCACAAGGCGATAGCGCCATCCTTGTTGACAGAAGCCAGCGTCTTACTGTCGTTGGAGAAAGCAATGCATGACTGTGATTCGCTTTGGCCCTTGATCGGCACACTCGAACTCGTTTCAACCGCCCAGAGTCTGACCGTCTTGTCTTTTGAAAATGAAGCAATCATCTTGCCGTCCGGAGAGAATGCAACGCACTTGACAGCTGCAGTGTGCCCTTTCAAAGTCTGACGAGCTTCACCTGTTTTCGGATCCCATACCCGGACGGTCTTGTCGCCCGAAGCCGACGCCAAAGACTGCCCGTCTGGTGAGAAGGCGACAGAGTGGACGGCGTCCTTATGGCCGCAGAGACGTTGCAAGCACTTGCCGCTTTCAATATCCCATATGCGAATGTCTTTGTCGTGGGAGGCTGTTGCCGCGACCGTCTTATCAGGAGAAACGACCACGTCCGTCACCCGGCTATGGTGACTTTGTGCTTCTTCCTGCTGACTCCAGTCTTTTATGTCGAGCAGACGAGTTGTATCCTCCAGGCCTCCCATTGCTACGGTTTGGAGATCTGGGGACAATGCAATCGTCGGCCAGTTGTTCCATCCAGGGCTGAAGCTTCTTGTACAGATGCCGCTCTCAATGTCCCACAGGCAGATGGTGCCATCAGTGGAAACTGACCCGAGCGTCTTACTGTCACCGGCGAATGTGAAGTCGCGGAATGCCTCGTCATGGCGCTTCAGCACTCGAGCGCTGTCTCCCGAGCCGGTGGACACGTCCCAGATACCAATCAAATTCTGCAGCAACGAAACAGCCAGAGTCTTATTGTTCGGTGATAAAGCAATGATGCTCTTAGTCTCACCCTTCGCCGCGAATATCTGGTCAAACTTGTCCGTTTTTGCGTCCCACACATGAACTGTGGCATCCCTAAGAACCATCACAACCCCTTTGCTGTCGGATTGGAAGTTGGCACAGGCAATTTTGCGCTTCTCGGGATGTGCGAGGGTCCGGATCTGTGTTTTTGTTTCCACGTCGCAAATGTGCAAAGTATCACCATAAACCGCCAGCACGGATTTGGAGTCGGGAGAGAAACTAAATTCTTCGGCCACACCGGTCGAATCGGGGAGGAAAATCGTGCAGATGGGTATCCAGGTTGCAACCTTCCACACCGTAAGAGAACCCTCAGTACCTGTTGAAAAGAAGCTTCCGTCTTCAGAAAAGGCCACTGCGGTGACTGCACCATAGCGGCCATCAAGGGTGCGCGTGTTGGAGTCCCCGGTCTGCTGCGTGGTGACCATGTTTCGAATGAAAGGAAGCCGCTCATCCCATCCAAAGACTCGGACACTGCTTTCGGGTCGAGCGAATAGTAGCGCTGTGCCGTAGGTCTGCAAGGCTGCCGCTTTGATGGTGGATTTGTGACTGATAAGAAATCTCTCAGCGTCCTTGAGAAACTTGTTTAACAGCGCTGAAGATTCAAAGCGAGGCTGTGCTGCGAGCAAGCGAATAGCTTTCAACCCCTCAGACAGGCTTCCGAGAAGTGACAGGCATTCAATCCAGCGAAGAAAGAATTTCTTCAAGAAATCCAGGACCTCCTCAGATGTCACAAGCTCTGCAGAAGTCTCCGACTCGCCAGCATTACACAAATGGTGCATCCAGAATATCGCAGAGTAGGCAACACCGGCCAAAGGATCGTTATCAGAACCGTTGATTGCGTCACCTAGGAACCTCGGGAAGTACCCATTTCCAGGCAAATGGTACATGTTGTGCTTCAGGGTGTGTTGCATCTCTACAAGGGACCGGCTAGCGATATCCTGATGGCTCAGCACAACATCCCCTTGCTCCAGCAACTTGCCATATTTCTGGCACAAGTATTCTCGAATAGATTGATGGGTCAAAGAGACCACTCTGCCTGTCATGCTGAGAAGAGAACCGCAGGCCTTTACGATATCTAGAGGTTTGATGGGAGAACCAAGTCCGGCCACCACCCCCAGCTCCTTCAGAGTGAGCGGCCGATATGCCAGATATACAGCCGCGATAACATTTTTGCATCGGACCCTTTTCAGGCCATGATGCGCTTCAATCTTAGCCATCAAGTAACTGTACAAGTCTGGCAAACCGGAGGGCAGCTTCTTGATTGTCTCAATAGCCTTCTTCCCATCGACACCTTGAAGTTCTCTGAATGCCAACGCCGCCCAGAGAAATGTATTTGCAGCTCTGTCACATATTTCGTTGGACAGTTCCACGAGAGTGGCCTCGTCATCGTATCCAGGGTTCTCTTTTAAACCTGACAGTTTATAAGTGATGTATGCATGAACTGGCCCTTCCAATCTTTGTGCATCCAACTCAACCAGGGCCTCATCAAGACCTGGGTTCGTCAAGTCAAGTTCTGGTCTACTAGAAATCAACCATCTGACCTTGTGCGAAATACTAAGAGACCTGTAAATGAGTTGAATTAAATCTTCTTTAGTCCCATCACACTCGTCCAGGCCATCCACAACGAAGTATGCAGGCGTGAATGACGGATCCTTCAGCATATTTTCAAAAGCTTCAGACATTACACTGAACGCGTTCGAGTCTGTAAACAACGAGGATCCCGCGTATTTATGTTTGGCACGCAAGTGCTGGATAAGACGAGGTTGTTGAATAAGCAGCATCCAAAGTAAGGATCGAAACAGTGCGGTAGCATTGTTTCGCGTCTGATCTCCGGTGCCTTGACAAAAGTAGTATGATGCGCTGGGCGCGAACGCTGCTGACTGTGTCGAGATTTCGCGGACAATCCCCATCAAAAGCATTGTCTTGCCTGTTCCAGGTCCTCCTTTAATCCAAAGCATACGGCGGGAGTCAAAACCATGCCAATTCGAGAACGATGTATACTCTCTAGTACCCATGACCCACGAAAATGCAATATCAATTAGCTTGTCCGTCTTCCTTTCAAGCCTTTCAAGGTCCCGCATCGGGTCGATTACGAACAAGTCTCGGAGACAAGCAGAGTCTTTGTCATCGGCAACCTTCTGCTTCTGGGTAGAAATGAAATCCTGAAGATCTTGGTGGATGTTCCCAAGCGTTGATTGCATCTTGTCTCCATGTTTCATCAGCTCAGATAGGCGTTCGAGGGAGCTCTGGGTATTGTACTGCACAGAAGCAGCTCTCAGAGCTTCTTCTGCAGTGGTAATAGCCTTAAGGTCCGACTCCCACTTGTCCCATGCGGCGAGTTCACGAAGATAAGTCAAGCCCGAATTCCTGTAATAAGAGCTTACGCTCTTCATCTGATACAGCAAAAGGCTCTTGTAAAGATCAAGCACAAGGGTTTCTAGGCGCTGCGTGACCACACTAGCGGGTTCCTTGCCTTCGACGATACTTCGCTCATCCAGAAGGTGATCAACCAGCGAACAATACCAATCCATGCGAGAGACTACATGGGTGATCCCTGCGAGGTTCTCTCGGGAGACTTTCGCTGGATTAGTAAGGATCTGTTCACAAGTTTAGTCTCAATGGTCCCGATGGCGAC